TCCGATATGGCCCTTTTTGGCCATATCAGGCTAGATCTGGCCATTTCCGGCGAGATCGATGGGTATGGCTGTTAATGGCCAGATCCCTAGCCATTATCGGCCAGATCTGGGCGAGATCTGGTCGGTAACGGCTTTATCTATTAGGTCATAATAGATATGGTGGGCAGATCTCGCCCAGATCTAGCCGTTAATGGCCAGGGATCTGGCTGTTAACGGCCAGTTCCATTGATCTGGTCAGATGATGGCTGGAAACGGCCAAATCTGGCCTGATATGGCCGTTTTCGGCCATCAATATGGCCAAAAACGGCCATATCGAAGCCTCCCACCGAATCTGTTCTTTTTTAGGACTCCAACGACTTTTCGACGACGGTCCGTGCTGGTTGGCCCGCTGTCGGTGGTGGTGGGGGTGGCAGTGGTGGTGGTGGCTGGGTGGCAGTAGTGGTCTGTAAATTGTTTTAAATATAAAGACATATTGTCCAAAATTTTAATTAAACAAAGGTAAAATTGAAATAGGATATTAATGTAAATATTTTAAAATGAGGGCAATATTGTCCAAATTTTATTAATAAGGGATAAAATTATAACAAAAAAAGATAACTGGTAATCTTAGATATCTAAGAAAATGGAGGTAATCTAATACCTCCAATATTACAATAGTAACTACTATTGGTATTTGAATATTACCGGAATCTTTTATTACTTGACAACCAACGTGGTAATCAAGTAATATAAGTGATATAACCCCATTATCACATTATGCCAACCAAACGCCCCCTTAAGTAATTACGTTTACAACTAATCTTACATACTTCTCTTATAATCTTAAACGTGGTAGCTGAATGACACTGTATGTCAGCTCTATCACACCAAGACACAAATTTTTTGACTAGACCTAAAAAACAACTGTTCTTTCTAGGGAAATGGTCATTCCTTATAGCCGCACCTATGAAATGGTTAATACTTTCATAGGTATGACCATGGAACCATACCTTCATAAGGTGTGACCATTTATAAGCGAAGTTTTTTTGGTCTTTTGTATAAGACAAATAAATTATTCACTGCATTTTCATTAAAAGTTAGGAATCACTTAGATTTGAATATAAGACGTTTTTCCTACTCAAATAATGACTTAAAGGATACTTTTCCATTCACGAGCTTTTAAAAAATTATTTTATTATCTAAAGCATAATTCTATTAGTAAAATTCGTTTTGGAAAAGGGTAGAATGACAAAAAATCTGTTATAAGTAAAGACATGATGGTCAATTAACAAAACCCTGTGAACCCCACCTGTTTGCATCACCAATCATCAGCCCCTCACATCGACACCTAATTTTTTGCTGGTGAGCAGATGCAATAAAAAAAGCAGTCGCTAGCAGGAGGAAATGCCCATAATTATAACCCAAAACAAACACCAATCGATAATACAACCAACAACAATAAAATTCTCGTTCAATTTGAACCCAATCAACAAACAAAACAAAACAACAAATGTTGCAAGCAGCGAAGTCGTGATCGGCTTTTGGCAAGTAATCAAATTTCAAAGTAATGGGGGTTTTGTAGGGGAAGGGCCGATGAGTCTGTGGGTGATGACATAAACGATTTTGGTTGTCATAATTGGCCAGAATTCGACTTGAACAAGAAATCCTAGTTCTTTGCGGCGACTGACGAATAATGGCTGCAAACAATGAGAGGGGGGGGGGGGGGGGGGGGGGGGGGGGGGGGGGGGGGGGGGGGGGGGGGGGGTGTGGGTGGTTTGTTTTGGTGATATGAGGACGTTGAAGCCGATGGTGGTGCTAGAGAAGACCAATTCCATTGGGAACTGGCCAGATTGAGCCTGGGAGTGACTATATTTAACTGGTCGAAAAACAGTGAAAAAGCCGATGGCAATTACCAACAGTCATGATGAAGGCTAAGAAGAGAAAAGAAGAAGAAAAGTAAAGAGTATTTTCATCTTCAAAATAAATATCACTGTATTTAACCGAAATTATTAACGGAATATAAAGTTTGAGTAATAACGTAGTATTTTAAAAGTTTGTGGGTGAAAAAATGTTATTAAGTCATTATTTGGGTGGAAAAAGTCGTTTACTTATAAAAAATTTCAAAATTTTAAACCACCTTAACAATGGTCAACTTAATTTAAAGAAAATCAAACCTCATTTTAACTTTATTTTTTTTTAAAGAAAAATCAAAAGTTCGTGCACGGTCGCATACACACACGCACATATATATATATATATATATATATTAAAATCCAGAATTTTTTATACAAATAAATCAAGGTAGTTGTTAATTGTTACTCATGTATAGAATTTTATTTTCATTATACGTCACTATGATAAATTTAATTATACATTTTTCCAAGTGACCGCTTTCTAAATAAATAATTTGTTATATTGTAAGGCCTTGCGACGGTTTCTACTTAAGATGATACATACCATTTTTTAATTTGATTTGTCAGTTATAAAATATGTTTGGAAATCTACTTTCGTACTGGCAAAACATGTTTGAAAACTTGTCAGACAAAATTCACATTTTTAACGTTTCTCAAATGTCAAATCAACTTAACTTTTTTCTTCATGCGGATATTTTATTTTATCCTATATCGAAAATAATATTTAAGTATTTTTACAAATATAAACTGATCTAATACGTTACTATTGAATAATATATTATAAATAAAATAATACCCTTTAACCACAGTTATAAAGCAGTCTTTATATCCGTCTTTATGCCCGAATCCATTAGGTTTTGGGCCCATTTTATAACCCAATTACTCGAGGACGAGTAGATGAAGTGAGCTTTATTAGGAAACTAAAATGGAAAATGATAGACTTACCGATTGGTGTGTACCGATTTTATGCACCGAATGACGTGACAAAATCCTAGCTGTTGATTAATATTAACTGATAATAAATAAAAGGTCAGGATTGTGCCATGTCATTCGGTGCACAAAATCGGTACACACCAGTCGGTAACTGTAGCATTACTCAACTAAAATAGGTAATTGTTCAAGGAAGAATGTTTGACGTGAAAGATTGACAGACATGAACAACCTGCCACGTACTCATAATTATAAATATTTATTTATTAATTTAAATTGTGTGAATAGACAATATAGATGATGTAAAGATCTTACCTTCTAAGGGACGTTTGATTCAGCAATGTTAGATTATTGGAAAGATAGATTACCTTGGAAGATTACTAAGAATCTTTGAGAAAATATATTTGGTTAGTTGGTGGGTATATTATACTAATACGTTTGGTTATAAGGAATAAATTGGTGGGTATGTTATTTAAATTACTAAATTTTTTCTTTTCAAATATTAATATAACATTATTTTTATTATTAATTTTTGAATAATTTCTTTAACCCCCAATATTTCAGATTTAGTTAAAACACCCCCGCTTATATAAAACTTTAATTTATTACGAAATCACCCCCACCTCCTGCCGCCGCTGTAGCCACTGCAAACCACCGCTGGAAGTCTCCAAAAGTCCCCGTCAGTAGCTCGCCATGACCCAGAGGCTCCGATATGGCCCTTTTTGGCCATATCAGGCTAGATCTGGCCATTTCCGGCGAGATCGATGGATATGGCTGTTAATGGCCAGATCCCTAGCCATTATCGGCCAGATCTGGGCGAGATCTGGTCGTTAACGGCTTTATCTATTCAGGTCATAATAGATATGGTTGGCCAGATCTCGCCCAGATCTAGCCGTTAATGGCCAGGGATCTGGCTGTTAACGGCCAGTTCCATTGATCTGGTCAGATGATGGCTGGAAACGGCCAAATCTGGCCTGATATGGCCGTTTTCGGCCATCAATATGGCCAAAAACGGCCATATCGAAGCCTCCCACCGAATCTCGTTCTTTTTTAGGGACTCCAACGACTTTTCGACGACGGTCCGTGCTGGTTGGCCCGCTGTCGGTGGTGGTGGCTGGGTGGCAGTGGTGGTGGTGGCTGGGTGGCAGTAGTGGTCTGTAAATTGTTTTAAATATAAAGACATTATTGTCCAAAATTTTAATTAAACAAAGGTAAAATTGAAATAGGATATTAATGTAAATTTATTTTAAAATGAGGGCAATATTGTCCAAAACTTTTATTAATAAGGGATAAAATTATAACAAAAAAAGATAACACTGGTAATCTTAGAATATCTAAGAAAATGGAGGTAATCTAATTACCTCCAATATTACCAATAGTAACTACTATTGGTATTTGAATATTACCGGAATCTTATATTACTTGACAACCAAACGTGGTAATCAAGTAATATAAGATGATATAACCCCCATTATCTCACATTACTGCCAACCAAACGCCCCCTTAAAGTAATGTTACGTTTACAACTCAATCTTACATACTTCTCTTATAATCTTAAACGTGGTAGCTGAATTGACACTGTTATGTCAGCTCTATCACACCAAGACACAAATTTTTTGACTAGACCTAAAAAACAACTGTTCTTTCATAGGGAAATGGTCATTCCTTATAGCCGCACCTTATGAAATGGTTAATACTTTCATAGGGTATGACCATGGAACCATACCTTCATAAGGTGTGACCATTCTATAAGGAAGGAACGATCATTTTTTTCGAGAGGAACGATCGTTCGTATTTAGTAAAAGGGTTTTTGATGCAGTGGGAGCTGAGGTGACAGTGCCAACTTTACTACCACGTTAGGGTTGTAAGAGAAAGTTATAAGATTGAATTGTAAACGTAGTATTTTTTTACCTTATAAAGGTATGTTTGGGCGTCACATCATTGCCCATATAAGGGCGGGTGGCATGTCGCCTAAAAGACTACGCTTAGCGCCCGGCCCGTGACATACGGACGGGCAGTAAAATCAAAGATCCTATGAAGCCCAATCCAGACCGGCCCATCCCCAGATATAGAATTCGAGTCGGGTCTCGGGTCAAAATTTGCGGCATTGCTTGAGAAATCCTCCAAAAAAGTAACGGAAATAAGAACTGCATTTTCGGCATCATTTACCGCCTCCTCCCTAACCTTCGTTACGTGGCGGGGAGCGAAAAAGAAAAAAGAAATTAAAAAGAAAAATGAGTGAAGAAGGAAAGGGCGAAGGTGCCACCAGCAACGCACAGAACCAAATTCACTACGGCACCTTTCAAGGCGTCGCCAACTACTACCCTCCTTACCGGCCGCCACTGCCTCAGACGGTAATCGGTATTCCTCAGCCCAGTCGTCCTCCTGGATCCGTCCTCAGTACCCCGTTATTTGCCGCTGGATATCAAACCATTTCAGGTTTTAAATTTATTTATTTAATGAGCATTGCTGATTGTTTTGTTAATTGCTGATTGTTTGGTTAATTAAAACGAAATAATTTCAAATTTGTCAGTTTTTGGCGTTTAAATAAAGGATTAATTTTTTTGAATTTTTTGTTAAATGGACGTTAATTGCTTGTTTTGGTGTTGATTAAGGTTATGATATTGCTGAGGGAACTCCTGTAAGAGAACGCTGCTTACCTTGCTGTGGTCTTGGCATGGGCTGGTTCTTGTAAGTTTCACATTCATTATTCGTTTATTTGATAATTTCAGTTATAGTTAGACAAACTCACCTTTGATGTGGAGAAGACAACTTAACAGAACGAGGACGGTTGATGCGACAATAAAAGAATGATGTTATATAAGCATAGTGATAGTTTGTAGATGTAGATTTATTCTTTATCTGAATCTCGGCGGAGGACAATGGAATTTAACCTTAGTGTTTATCTATATGGGCTCCTAGCATTGTTATTAGTGGTATTTTTTAGCATTTGAATGTAAGATTGAATTTGTTTATATCCAAGTTGCATACATGTAAAAATAGTAAAAGAAACTTGACATGGTCTCAGTTTTTTTGGTGTCAAATTCAAAAAATGGGATAAACAATACATCTTTAAGCTCTATAGTCTCTGCCATTTCAGTGTATTTGATGTAAATGTATTTCACTTGACTAATGTTTTGTGTGATCGGAAAGTACAGAACCATTTTATATGGTTAGTGGCATGCTTTATATAAATGTTCAAACCATCAGTAGCCATCATTTACTTCATAGTTGTTTACTTGTGAAATAAATAGCCTTTACAGTCGGCTACTTATTTAGCCAAATTTTGTGTTTTTCCTTGAACCTTGGTGACACCCCTTCTTTTGTTTCTCTTCTTGTTTTATTAATTGTTTCTTTATTTTCAAAAGGAAAAGAGTTCAAGGTTATTTACCACTTTTACCCTAATCATCACCTTCAAAAGAAAAAAAGAAAAGAAGAAGAAGAAAGAGAGAACTTGAATTTGGGGCTAATTCATTTTTTTTTTATTATTATTCTTTTAATGATTAATTATAATTTTTAAGGTGACTAAATTAGAGAAAAAGAGTTACACTTGAAGTTATCAAGTGTGCGATTATTAAACATTGGTAGAATCATGCTCTTCATGAGATCAACTAGATGAAGACATTGACCTGTTACCAATTATGTAATGCTCTATTTTAATTAAAGTCTTGTCCATGCTATCGGTTAATGAATTTGAGTTCCAGGTTTATTGTTGGTTTTTTCCTTGGTGGCATTCCCTGGTATGTTGGAGCTTTTATTGCACTATGTGCACGAGTGGATGTTCGAGAAAAGCCTGGATATGTTGCATGTGCTGTTGCTGTAAGTGCTCTTTGTCTGTCATTTTATTTTCACTTGCATGAGTATGTGTTTACTATTCTTGTGTTACTTAATGGTCCAAACTACTCAATAATGAAGAAGGCTTAAGACAAAGATTTGGTTGTTGGATTACTCTTTTTACAGGGTGGTCTTAACATGTGCATTGTTTGTGTTTTAGTCTCTTAATGTGTGTGCTTAGGAGCACATGTGCATTAATGAACCTTGTGTAGTTTAGAGCTTGGATGATTCAAGCATGCTTCTTAGATCATTTAGTGGTTAGTTTCCAGCATCAGATTGTTTAAGTTTTTGAGACAATATGTATATGACATTTATGGTTGATAGATCCACTCCCTTTGGAACTGTTTGTGAATTTTTATTCTGATACGTAACTGTTCACTAGGTAATTTTGTTGTGCTCTTTCTTCCACCATACAATACTAATAGTGCTTCCCTTTTTGGTTATTTTTATCTTCTTTTTTGAGCAAAATGTCGCTACTCATTTAGTTGCTGAGAATTATATTATATTGTCTTCGCTTGTGCTTAGATAGAGGGCTTATTTTTTATTTTTTATTTTTTTTTTGTACTTTTATTTTTTATCCTTATTATTTTTCTCATGGTGTACAGTCAATTCTTACTATGATTGCTCTAGCTCTTGGCGTAACAAAGGGATCTTATTCTTGGGTGGTTTGGCAAGGGTAGTGATTGTAAATTCGTCAATAATGTTCCAAATATAAATGGTTGGTTATATTATTTTTAGTTGGAAGATCTCATATTCTAACATGTAAAGGTAGCTGATGAAATTATTCGGTGTTCATATTTATGCACATAGTTGGTTTTGTTCAGCACTGCAGACCATCCTTGCTGGTAAACTACACCAGAAATCCTTGATATTCCAAGTAAAATTTGATTCATATTTAGCTTCTCTTTTGTACTGAAATAAGTATGGAAGCTTTCCAGACTCTGGCTACATTTTCGTTAGCAAATGTTAGCAGTAAAACTTCTCTATAGTGATACCTTATATAGGAATAATTTTTATATAGTCATAAAAAATTCTAATCCTAATTTGGGATAGTTATAAATAAAAATAAATTCTACATTGTAATAAGTTATAATTTTTCTATTTCCCGTCTTAAGAAAGTCATCTCTACATAGTAATAATTATTTGTATATTACAAAAAAAAAAAAAAAAAGTTATGTTATATTAAAGGTTTAAGATGAAATAAAATATTTATCTAAAATTGTTTGGGACAATGATTTATGTTTTAGAGTTTACCACATCGTTTAACTTGTGGATACGTAATAACTCGCTAGCATTGGTACCTTTTTATTGAAGCTAAAATATTTCTAGTTTTTTAGGTATGTTTAGAACTTCTTAACACGAACCTTTTTATATTTTAGTACTATCATCTTTATGATTATTTTTCTTTTTTTTCCGTTTAATTGCAACAATAATTACTAAAACAATGAATTAAAATCCTAATACATATTGCTAAAACCTGAATTACAAAATGAGAAATTAAATCAGTAATTTTTATAACTACATTTATATTAAGTTATAATTTTTTTATAATAATAAATTAGTTTGATCCTTTTATTATGATTATAGAGAGGTTTTACCATAGAATCATAGACATTCCAAAGAAAATGAAAAATTGCTTTGCTCAGTAGCTGTAACTTGTTATGATTTGATGAAGATAAATGCCAAACTCTAGTGAACAGAAGATGGTTAAATGCTCAAATGGAGCTTCTATCGGTACACTTATTTTCTGGTACAAATGGGTCTGATAGTTACAAAATAACCTGATACAAACCAACCCATAACTAAGAATTATAAATTTGAGCCTCGAAGAGGAAGCATAGGAAATATTTCTGCAAGATCTTTCATTTTGAAATTTATTAACAGTGCTTTCTGAAGATATTCAACCATAATTTGTTCCTTAAAAAGAAAGAAAATGATAATATTCAAATACATAATCCCAAAACTTTCTTTGACTTGGTTGTTTAGAAAAACAAACATACCCAATTTACTGTGTTTTTAAAAATATGACAAATGTATATGATTATTTTTTACTCAATTCTAATATATGATTAGTTTATCAATATAAGCAAGTGAATCCCATTATTTAAGAAAAAAGGTTCCTTATTGAAACTATCTTAGGGTGATTGAGTGGTTTGATATAAACTCTTCCGTGTATTATTCAAGAGGTCTTAAATTCGAATCTTCTACAGTTGCTACTAGAGATAGCCACTAGAGTTTTATTCGATCGATAGTTTCAAAGTTCTAAAGGATTAATTGAAATATGTATAAATTGGTCCGCTCACTATCGAACATTAAAAAAAAAAAAACAAAAAAAAAAGTTCCCTTACTCAAGACCATTTTAAATAGTGAAAGGAACTTCTGTATTATTTGGCCTAAATATGTAAAAATAATGATTTTATATTTTTATTTTTTTCGCCACGTGTACATTTTTAATTTGGTTTCACCGATTCAGTGTCCAACGCACCGTCACTTTAACGTACTATTCATTTAGGGTTTTCATACCTATAAAAGCGAAAGAAAACCCTAGTTTCGTCTTCTTCATCACATAGAGGAAGAGCGTGGCTGCTTAGATCTTCACATCTTCTCTTCCCTTGAAAATGGTCACCTTCAAGGTAAGTTAATAACACTTGCTACAGAGATCTACTCCTAGCGCGGAACTAAATTTATTCACCGTAACTTTTTATTAATTTTCTCTTTTTGGTTACTGATACAAACACTTCTCATCTTTGATAATGAATTTAAACTAGCTCTTTAGAGAGCCTAATAGGGAATTAACTATTTCTTTCCGAATACTGAACTAGTGAGCAGCTAGATATTTTTTTCTTCTTATTATTATGTTGTTTAAATTTATCAGAGGATCAGAGTTTTGAGGTTTTTATTAGTAAATGGGGTTTTTGGTTTTGTAGTTTCACCAGTACCAGGTTGTTGGGAGAGCTCTCCCATCTGCGTCCGATGAGCATCCTAAGATTTACAGGATGAAGTTGTGGGCCACCAATGAGGTTCGGGCCAAGTCCAAGTTCTGGTTAGTGATATGATTTGATTGATGGTCGTTGAGCTTGATGATTGAAGTGGGAATTAGATGGTAAGATTTGTGGTGTTTTGTTTGTATCAGGTACTTTCTGAGGAAGCTGAAGAAGGTAAAGAAAAGCAACGGTCAAGTTCTCGCTATTAACGAGGTATATTTCTTGTTTTTTTATTTCGCATGGCAGTACATGATTTAAATTTATTAAGTTTTAGCATAGGTCTTTGGGTTTGTTGAGTGTCTGTGCTGTAGTTGATGCATTTATAGTTCAAGACCCTGCTGTGTGACGTTATTTGATTGTTTTACTTAGTTATTGGTAATAGATTCTGTAAAACCCATCTTTTAGTTAGTGCATGTTTTTTTCGGGGTTTATATACTTTCTGTAATTTCAACGTTGAAACAATTATTTGCTAACCTAGTTAGATTTCTTAGAGGTTGAATTAATTATTGTCTAATTTTTGTACTGAGTCGTGCATCCATTGGATAGTAATTTTGGATGCTGAATTTGATCTCCTATATCAATGCTTGTTCCTGTCATTTTATTGTAAAATCCCAGAGGGGAGGCATAGTGTTTGAAATGTAGAAACTTGATGAATGACCAAGTCAACTCGTAGGGTCTGTATGAATTAGATCTCGTGTGTTTGAGGTTGATTAAAATTGTTTTAAGAAGTATGAATGTCCATTGTTTTTTACTGGACCATGGCCAGTGGCATATTTTGGTTGTATCTGATGATTTATAGAATGAAGTAGTTTTGGTTTGCATGCCATGGTTTTCAGAAAAGTCCCTTATATGTTATCCTTCTGTACTTCTCTTTGGCTTTATTGTTTGTGTTTATGGTATTAGTTTTGGCAGCAGATATTAAGTGTACCCTTTTAGGGCTGGTATAATATGATTTAATTACATGCAGATCTTTGAAAAGAACCCAACCACGATCAAGAACTATGGTATTTGGTTGCGTTATCAAAGCCGAACTGGTTACCACAACATGTACAAGGAATACCGTGACACCACTTTGAATGGGGGTGTGGAACAAATGTACACTGAGATGGCTTCTCGCCACAGGGTTAGGAGTCCTTGCATTCAGATTATCAAGACTGCAACCATACCCGCCAAGCTGTGCAAGAGAGAGAGCACCAAGCAGTTCCATAACTCCAAAATCAAGTTCCCCTTGGTCTTCAGGAAGGTTAGGCCACCAACTAGGAAGCTGAAAACTACATACAAGGCAACAAGGCCCAACTTGTTTATGTAATTCTCAAATCATTTGATAATTGAAGAGTCAAGGCGTACTATTCAGAGGATTTTTTGGTAGTAATCTTGTCAGTTGTTTTCTTCACTGGATACCTGTTTTTTGTTAAGAATTTTAGGTTATAAGACTGAGTGAAATTTATTTTTTGGGCATTTTGAACTTCATGTTCTTCTTATCTTTAATATTTTCTATGGTATGTTATTGTTTGTCAGGTATTGTTATTTAAGTAGATTCTCCAGTATTAAGTTTTGATGATTTTGCCATCGTTTTCAAATTATGCTTAGTATTATGGAAGCATGAAATTTGTTAAAGAGTGCCTTGGCCCATTAGAGGTCGGCATCTGACTGATCCGATTGTATTAACAATTCAGAATCAAGAAGTTCTTCAGACTCTTTGATGGTGGTCCTGGTGGGATGTATACTTGTTATGTAGCACCCTGGGACCCTTGGAAATTCTGTGTTTGTAGCTGATAGGCACTCATTTGGTAACGCTTATTTAGGCCCTTGTTTGGTTACACTTACTCTAGAGAGATCCACTGTCCTTCGCATTCTCTTTTATGTTGCAGAGCCATTAATTTCTGAAGTTTCACATACGCTATCAAAGTGGTAGTTGCCTAGTTCTTTGTTAATTGTTATATTATATGTTTAATTGGGAGTGTAGACTCACCCACTCATATTATCAGATGATCAGAGTTGGGCTTTTACTATAAATCGATGCGCAAGGGTTATTATGTTCTTGATAATAATGGGTCCAATTTGCTGGCACCATGGATTTGGAAATTTCGTTGTGTAAGCAATGAAGACATCTGGGTTGAAACTTTGTTTTATTAATGTTAATTTGGGGTTAATTACATGAGTCCCCTGAGATTTTAATGATTAACAGAGCTATAAAAAAGATGACTTGGGACAAGGTAACACATAACCCCACCTTATTTGCTCCCGTTATACCGCTATTGATGGAAAAAGGTTAAATAATTGAAGTAGTTGAAATAGTAGATATCTTTTATCTTTATAATTTTGAAATTAAAATATTTTATATTTTAAACTTTTAATACCACCGACTAGATACCGTTATGACAAGAAAAAAGGGAAGGAACGAATTTTTTCTGAAAAAGAAAAACATGAAGTCTCCAATCAATTCATTAGTCAAGCTGCTTGAGTGTGTGGTGCGACAGTGACCATAAGGTGAGGCATATCTTGAGGGGAGGGTTGGGATGGAGTGAGGTGAGGCTGAGGAGGTCCAGAAGAAGAAAGTGTGATGAGATTGTGACGGATGGTCTTGCGACGGGGAGAGAAATCTGGGGGTTGGGTGGGGTGTGGCCGTGATGGGGAAGAGGTGGAGGTGAGAAAGTGCCGCAATGGGGAGGGAACGTAAGGGTGAGAAAGATGCCGCAAGGGAAGGAGACCACCAAGGGTCGGTCAAGGAGGTGTACTCCCTTCCTTGATTTATTGGGTTCAAATTTTGGAGCCACCCATCTCAATGCATAATCGTGATTTACGAGGTTCATTAGGTTTGTAGGGTATTCAATAGACCTCAGTGATTAGTTAAGGTGCGTGTAAGCTGACTCAGACACCACGGTTACAAAAAATAAAAATAGAGCAATAGGGTTGCATTTGATTTAATTTTCAATTTTAAGGGTAAAATAGTCTTTATATAATCATAAACCTTACTCAGTTAAAATTGTCCTAACTATTGTCAGGGGCTTGTCTATTACCCTAATTATCTTCTCTACCCGCTTGTTAAAGGTAAACCCTTAGGGGGCGTTTGGTTTAGGGAATGTTGGAATTACTGGAAAGATAGATTATCTTGAAGATTACTGGGAATCTTTAGGAAAATATGTTTGGTTAATTGGTGGGTATGCTATATTAATATGTTTGGTTGGGAGAAATAAATTGGTGGGTATGTTATTTAAATTACTTAATTGTCTTCTAATTAAATATTTTTTAATATTGATTATTATTTGTATTATTTTATAACCCCCCTAAATTTAAAAACTTAGCAAAAATAACCCCATAATAAAAGTTTGAAAAATCAACAAAGCACCCCCACCAACCCAGCCAGTGCCGGCCGCCGGCAACCACTGTAGCCCCGACAGCCGGCAACCTAACGGCTCATGAAAGGCAGGAAATGGCCTCCGTGTGCCGTATGACCATTTCCGGCCAGAGATTTGGCCGGAAATGGCTAGACTTAACAGATCTAGCCGTTGACGGCCATATCAATGGCATTAATGGCCACAGACGTGGCCGTTAACGGCCAAATCGATGGCCATATTAGATTTGGCCATATCGGTGCACGACGGCCATTTTCGGCCTTCCGTGCGCCCTTCTGGCGGCGACTGCCGCTGGCCGCGGCAGTGGTTGCCGGCGGTAGGTGGGTGGGGGTGGTGTCTTGGGTGGGCTGCAATTTGTTTTGAATTCAAGGGTAATTTTGTCCAAAAAGTTAATTAATTTGGGTGAAATATTAAAAGCCATATTCATGTAAATAAATTTAAAAATAAGGGCATTATTGTCCTAAAATTTTATTAATAAGGGATAGAATTGTAATAAAAAAAGATAACACTAGTAATCTTAGAATACCTAAGAAAATGGAAGTAATCAGATTACCTTTAATATTATCAATAATAACCACTATTGATATTTGAAGATTACCGATATCTTATATTACTTGATAACCAAACATGGTAATCAAGTAATATAAGATGACTTAACTCCAGTAATCTCCAATACCCTGCAACCAAACGCCCCCTTAGGGGGGTCTGTGGTAATTAACTCTAATATTTTAGACTTACCTAATTTAAGTATGGTTTTAGCGTCAAGCCTTTCCTTGGGATTGTTATGATTCTTTTTTACTTTTGCTTAATGAGAAGTAAATAATTTAATCACCATGAAGAATATCAACTATTTTCATAAAATGTTGTCTTGAGGTATGTATTAACAAATGCTCAATGTTTCAATTCCATTTTGAAAATCCGAATACAGAATGACCTTTGCTTGATCGGTGACTGCTTTAACGTATAAATTAGAATATTAAACGAAAAGAAAAGCAGTTGTTTTCAGCAATATGAAGAGAAATGATTACTTGCATGTTTTTAGTATGGCAATCCATGTTCTCAGATTTTTGTTTTCACTTGGTTGACACTTGAATCCATTTTTTATTGAAATTAACATTACTATATTCAATCAGACAGAAATTGACTGCCTACCAAATCTGTGATTATCAGTTTTGGTCCCTTCAAAAAACTACTCATTCATTATAATGCAAGGGCTATCATTACTACGACTTTCAATGTTTGAAATATATTATCCTCTCCATTGTCTTCCTCCCGGATTAAAGCTTTGTACATGTCTTAATCCGAATCTCGTTTTCAAGATATGAACCTTTCATCTTTTTCAACCTTCTGCAATTCTCATTTTGTTCATAATTTTGCCAAGTTTAAAGTTCTCAACATGCATGCAAATGTGAAAACTGGAAGTTGTGTAGATTTTGATTATCTATTGTTAAGTAATTGTGAGTTTGTGCTTTTAAGTAGTATATGTGAAGCAATCATGTAATTAAGCTCACAAAATAAGGCCTATGGAGATCTACCTTTGAGATCTGATCTGTGTCACTATCATGAATACGAGGATATTAATTAATTGCTTTAATCAATTGCGTATGGGACCAATTTCGATCACTATTTGTCTGATCTCAAAGTCTTTGTCTAAGCCCACAACTAGTATAAAAAATTATATGCTTTAAGATTCATGAAGCTCCTGTAAAGTTGTGTTAATACATGTGGCTCCAGAAAATTAATTGGTCATGGCATTGTTCTCCTCCACTCATTACAAAAGAATTATTGCCTACTGGATCAGTCACTGATCGATGTTTCTATATACACACACACATATATATGCAGGAAATTAAATTTGGTGGTAAATTTTTGTGAAAGAATTGAAGAATGATCCTGTAGTTTACCCTGTCTACATTATATTAACTTTCCTATGGTGAAACTGATAAGGTAAACCAACTCATAACAGCGATCACTTGGGCACAAAAGACTAATCGGTTTTTGTCCAATCCTATGAGAATTAATGAGATTACCAACTTTCATCATGGTGTCTGGCATTGTATTATATGTGTTGAAGCAATCCAGAATTTCATTCTCTCTAGACTTAGTAGAGTATCTTCATTTTTGATAAAACTCCAAGCTATGGCACATGAATAGATACTTACATCTTAACTAACTAGTTTCTCAGATCTTGGACTTATTATTAATTGGTAATTTGGAGTTATATAAATATGATGAGGCTTGTATGATTCCATATTTTACAGATTATTCATTTCGTTATTGTATATTTTTTTTTTGGATAATCGAGGGTGTTCGGGCTAGTTTGCGCATACGTTAACTAATCTCTCGGGATCTTGAAGTGAATGACCGGGTAAATTACTTTAGTGGCCACTCCTATTAGTGCCTGAAGGGATTTGCACTCAAGAATCCAAGTTAGACCCATTTGCTCTTTTACCATCAGGCCACCCCCAATGGCGGTTTTTTTGGTTATTGTTTAGTCCAATTCATTCCTATGAAATGGTTTTGAGCACATTATAAACTATAGCATGCCAAACTTGATTAATTGTTTGTGTTTGAGGAAATTAATTAGAATTTAGTTTTAGATCTGAAATAAGGGTTACATCTAGATGACATGTATTCGGCACGTATAATACATAAATTTTTAAGTTTATTAATTCTTAGTGCCCACTATATAGCCATCAACTTTCTTCAAGATGATCATCAACTTCTAATTCATTCAAAATTTGACTCCTTTGGGCATTGCCATCCCACATTCCTCTTTATGAAACCAAAAAGCCTAGCAATGTCAACCCCACATCGTTGAAAAATCTGTGGATTATCAGCAATTCATAATTCATTCCCACTTTGTTTACTCCTTTTACAGTCCTTAATTTCTCTTCAAAAAGACTACGACCTCCGTGGTCACAATCTACAACTCATACAAAATTGTATCTTAGCAAAGAGAATAAGGGAAACACTGATTGTAACTTGTAGCTTTTCTTTTTTATTCGGTAATCATAGCACATTGGCTTCTTTATGCAAAAAGAAGGTGCATTTTATGGAGTGTTAGAATAAATAAATCTTTTCTCAATTTATAAAGCTCGAATGTTCTTCTTGCCATCCAATAAAGTGTATTTGTATTCCAACAGGTCTTTCTCACTACATAAAGAATGATGAAAATATGAAAAGCTGAGTGTTTCTCTGTGATCAGTGCGGGAGAAAAAAATAGATATATTGCTGGGTTTGTGTTGCTCTTCCTATTTTGTTTTCGAGATTGAAGAATGCAAAAATTTCATTCTTTAGCATCTTTTATTCTTCCTTCATGTTATGTTATTCTTTTACCATTTGTTGGATGCTCATCCCATGAAGAGTTTAGTCAATCTTCCAGAAATCACAAGATCAGTAAAGAAGAAAATATACACAAGGTAATCAAATTTTGTTAAAGTATTTTGCCTTTCACAACAGTTTAGTTTCAACATCCTTTCTCCTTCTTTTGTCTGTTAACATTAATATTTATTTGCAGTTGAGTCCTCAGATGGCATCAAATATTACAGTTCATGGTCTTCTCTTGTGGACTTCAATAGGGTTCTTAATGCCTGTTGGGATACTAACTATCAGAATGTCCAGTAAAAAGGAAATTGGAAGCAGAGAAGCTAAAGTGTTCTTCTATCTCCATATTATTTTGCAGGTACTCTCACTTCTTCACTTTTCTAGTCTTCTGCAAAATTGGCTAGGATAATCTATTTTCATGATGCAAAATTAGGAAATTCATTTTTACTTGAAAGAAAATTAAACCCTTCTTTAGAGTCACAAGAGATGTAATCATATGAAATCTTGATAGTGGTGTAATGCATCATTAAAACCACTTTAACTTTAATCATAGTGTCCATAACTTTCTATTTCTTTTTCTCAAGTAGCCTGCAACTGATTGCTATATGTATAGTTAATTAAATAAACCAATTTTAACTAATCATATCTATCATTTAATCTTGAATAACAAGAAAAGGGAGTGATTATTTTGTTTTTATTCAATCTATTACTGCAGAATCTTGGTTTGTCAATTTTCAAGATTTTGTTTGATGATCTATGCCAACATGAACTAAGCAGAGTTCCATATGAGATTGGTCATTCGTAACTATTCAACAATATATATATATTATTTTCCTTTAATGATGTTACAGATACTTTCAGTGGTTCTAGTGACAATTGGAGCTGTCATGTCCATCAAGAACTTCGAGAATTCGTTTGATAACAGTCACCAAAAGTTAGGTCTAGCACTTTATGGAGCCATGTGGGTGCAAGCCTTGATTGGATTCTTCAGGCCTCCTAGGTAATTCATTAAAGATATCCATTTTGATTCAAACTAATATTGTAAGTACTGCATGTTTCACCAACTTAGATTGATGTTAATTAATTTACCAGATAATCTCTCTCTTCTTCTGCAGAGGAAATATAAGAAGAAGTACATGGTACTTTCTTCATTGGTTATTTGGAACAATGATTTCTCTTGTGGGGATCATCAACATCTACACTGGTTTAAAAGCTTACCATGATAAAACTTCAAGAAGCACTACAATTTTTACTATACTTTTCACGGCTGAGATCTGTTTCTTGGCTTTCTTTTATCTCTTACAAGACAAATGGGATTATATGCAAAAGCAAGGACTGATTTTAGGCGATAATGTTGATGCAGTCGCTTCCTCCATTCAAGTTATTACTCAAAGGGAAAACGAAAAAGTGTTGCCGCCAGAACCATGCGGAAAACGCAACGCATTGAGGAATTTGTTTGACTAGCTAGCTAACGTTGGGTTCTTAAATAATTTCATCTTAATTTATTATTTCGTTGTTAATGTGGATTCATGGTTTTTCATAGTCCACGTTTTGATGCATGTCCCATCCTATTAGCTTATTTATTAAACGGCTATTGCGGAAATGCATCAAAACGTGAAGTATGAATGGGTATTTTGTCATATCTTGTCTCTTAAACATCGATGTTCTCTTGTTATGACTTGGACTTTTATCAGGCCCAATGTACCTTGCATTAATGGCCATTAGGTGATTGTTTAGAGGAATGATTTGTATGAGAGTATTTATCAAGTTTGTAATGAAGCTTGTAAATAATGATTAAATATATGAAAGAAATAATGCTGTTTTCTTTAAGGGTTTAATTTGTTTAAATTCCTTTTCTGAATGCTTTGTTGAGTTGAGAATTAAGCTTGATACGGTCCATATATTTCTTATTGGGTTTCCTGGTCACAATGGACCTACTTAAAAACACTGTTTTAAAAATCAGACCGGACCGGCCAATCCAACCGGTTGGACCGGGACCCGGGGCCTTCTCCGGGTCGGGTAACTTATTTTAACTATTTAAAGTTTAAAATATAACAAACACACCCCTTATTATTACCATCAGTTCCTGAAGATTTCAAATCTAGCAAACACACCCTCTGGCCAAATGCAAACCGGCAATGACCTCCTCTTTTTCGGCGATCTTCCACCTTCCCTTACTGTCGGAAACCACCTTCTGAGTTCTGACTTTCTCCAGCGCTGTCATGCTTCATCTCCAGCCGCTGCATGACGTTTCGTCGTCTACCTTCGCCGCGAGATTTTTCTTCCATTTCCTGGTGTCGATCGGCCTTCTTCGACATCGACAGGCTTCCTCAGCCACCGATCTACCTTCTCCCAAGCTCCCTTGCCGTTATTCACGAAGATCCAATCATCTCACCAAAAAAAGCAACCGCGACCAGTGACTTCCGCCACCGATCTGTCATTTTCCGACGATGCCTCTACTTACTAGCTGCCGATTCGCCCTCCCCATCATCTGATCTACCCTCCCTGGTGTGTCGCTGCTGCTCTCCTAATTGATCGCCGATTTGCATTTAGTCAGGGTTGTGTTTGCTAGATTTCAAACCTATAGGGTATGATGGTAATTATTAGGGGTGTTTTTGTTAGATTTTAAACCTGTCAAACCATCGGTTCAACCGACGATCCAACGGTTGGATCGGTTGAACCGTGACCCGGCCATCAAAGCGATTTGCCCTCCGGTCCAGTTTTTAAAACAATGCTAAAAAATAGCCCAATTTATTATCTGTGACCCATGTTTCTAGTCCAAGTTCGCCTTTTATCTACAATTATTTTTTCTAAATAAATTAAGTGAAAATATGTTATTTGAAAAGGAAATTGTTAGATGTAAATTTATAGAGACAGATGGTAAATATGATTTAATGACAGCTCTCCCCTGCTATTCCTCTTAAAGTATTCTAAAGTTAGAAACTCTCTTCTTCCCAGCTTGCTCAGCTGTCATGGAGGCATAGTTACATTTTAGAAGACGTGGTTCCTTTTATTGGTCCTAATTTATTTAAAGTATATATATATGTTTGGACTAGCTTACATACACACCAACTAATCTTCGGGGTTCATTAAAAACCCTATAAAGCTAAAAGACCAGATAAATTACAACAATAGTATTGCAGTAAGTGATTCCAAGGTTTGAATCTAAAAACTCAAGAAAGAAAGCAAACATTTTTATCATCAGCCAACCCCTCGATGGTTGTATGAATGATATTTTGATTATGCTAATTTCTCATTCCAGTGATGTATGTATACTCTTATACTAATGTTTGTTTCACTGTGTATAAATGAAGGGACAAACTTGAGTTGAAAGCGCGGTGAAGGATGGCACTGGAGAGTAAGGCCGACTCATATGAAAAACTGGTGAGGGGAGAATTGTCAGATGAGGAAGTTTATATATTTTATTATTTTTAAAAATATATTATTTAATTTTTGTGACACATGGCACAAGCTGTGCTAGCCTAATTTCAGACTTGTCAGTTACCGTTCTCATTCCTTGCATTATTTTTCATTGTTCTTAAGATTTGACTTAGATAGAGATAATTCTTTGTCGTGTCCCGGGCCCTACAAACAGCCAAATCTTTTAGGATTGAGTTGCACTAACTGACAGTTGCATCTACGATATGTCTCGTAACATGTGTAAAAAAAATAACGCACGTTTATTTCATTCATATTTGTTTTTCTATTTTTAAAATCCAATATAAATTAAAAAATTATTTAAACCCCCTAAGTTTATTGGTCGATAAAAAATACTCTCAACAAAAAATTTATAAATTAATAAAAATATCTTTACCTATTTATAGTTATCAGATTCTGACAACCACCGTCGATGTTGACCAGAATCTATCACAACAACACACTACCAGTCAAAATTGATCGGTAATACATCGATTTGGTCTTTCCCAACTAGATCCACGGTGGTATATTAAGTATAAACTCATTAAAACTTTTTCCTAAAACCGGTCACAATATATATATATTTTAATGAGTCATTAGTAAGGAATTTATTGGTAAATGTATACATTTTTTATGAGACGTCCTTAATAACTTTGAAAATTGTTATATGAGAGTATGAGTTTTGTTTTGAAAATTATTATATGTAATGCTTTAACCTGATTAATTATGCTATTAATAGTACATTTATTAAGTTAATTAGGTCTATTATCATTTAGGGAATAATAGCCCCCGCTTGGCTTCCCTCTTTTAAATCATTTGTTTATTATCATATTTGGATTAAAAAGCAAAACATGTATTTGTTTATTTATTGGAACCATTAGTTTGAAAATTAATACGAATCAAATAAGATTTTTTTCTATTGAAAAATTTCGGCCAGGGTGGGGGAGAACGGCTTGATTATGGTCGTAGAGTAGATTTAGTCGAAAAAGGCCAGGTCGACGCACGACTAACCAAATCTAATTATTCATGTATTGTTCCAACGACTATTAGCTGCTGTCCGGTGGTGGTGGTCGGCGATAGACAGTGACTTGGGTGGAAAGGGGTGTTTTTATTAATTTTTAAACTTTTATTGGGGGGGAGGGTGTTTAGCTAAATTAACAAATGTAGGAGGTTAAAAAATAATGTAAATCTGGTCAAATTCTGGTGTAGATCTGGCCGAAAAAGGTCAGATCGGTGTACAACCAGCAAGATCCAGCTGATTGTGCACTATTCTAACGACTGTTGGCCACCGTTCTGTGGTGGTGGCTAGCTACCGGTAGTCGGTTGGGTGAGTGGGGGTCTGCTAATTTATATACTTTTATTGCTAGGGAAGGGGGGTGTTTAGCTAAATTAACAAATGTAGGAGTTTAAAAAATAATCTAAATATTTTTAGAAAATGTTTTCAAGAAATGTACCAAACACAATATTAAAATCCTATCATGTTTGATTTAATCATATTCTATCATATTCAGAATTGTTTATCAGAATATCATCCCTCCATTTGTTTCCTTATTTTTTCACCATCCTATCCTATTATCCTATTCAATCATATCCTAATACACATTTGTTTTAATATTCTCAATTCTCTCCTATTTTATTCAACTTAACTCAAAACATTAACAATTACCTTTCTCAATAAGAGTTTTAAAATTAACGAAAACACTCTCACCCATCCAAGCCATTGTCATCCGCTAGTAGCCACCGTCGCTGCCGTGCCACTATCGTCTGCCAGAATCATAACGATGCACAATCGGTTGGATCTGGCTGGTCGTGTGCCAATCTGTCCAGTTCTTGCCACATTTGGCTGTTGAGACTTGTTTTCTATTGAAAAAAAAGGCCTGATTATGGTTGTAGATTGGGTCGGAAAGGCTAGATCGGTGCACGAACGGCCAGATCCAACTGTTCATATACTGTTCCAACGACTATCGGCTGCTGTTCGACAATGGTGGTCGACGATCGGCAGTGACTTGGGTGGATAAATGTGTTTTTGCTAAGTTGTAAATTTTTTTTTTTTGGGGGGGGGGGGGGGGGGGTTGTTTAGCTAAATTAACAAATGTAGAAGGTTAAAAAATAATCTAAATATTTTTAGAAAATGTTTTAAAAAAATGTACCAAACACAATATTAGAATCCTATCTTGTTTGATTTAATCATATTCAGAATTGTTTATCAAAATATCATCCCTCCATTTGTTTCCCTATTTTTCACTATCCTATCCTATTATCCTATTCAATCATATCCTAATACACATTTGTTTTAATATTCTCAATTCTCTCTTATTTTATTCAACTCAACTCAAAACATTAACAATTAACTTTCTCAATAAAAGTTTTAAAATTAACGAAAACACTCTCATCCAACCAAGCCATTGTCACCCACTAGTAGCCACCATCGTCGCTGTGCCACTGCTGTTCGCCAATGTCATAACGACGTATGAACGATTAGATCTGACTGGTCGTGTGCCAATTTGTTCGTTTCTGGCCACATCTGGCCATTGACGATGGCTAAACGACAGCCAAGATATGACCGTTAATGATGATTAGATCTGGCCATATTTGGCTGTCAACGGCCAGATCTGTGGCTGTAGATTTGGAAGTTTCTAGCTAGATCGACGCATGATCGGCCAGATCTAACTGGTCGTGCGTCATTCTAGAAGATCCCAACCACCTTTGGACGATGGTGGCCGACTACTGGCAATATGTGGGGGTGTTTTTATCAATTTATAAACTTTATTATGGGGGTGTTTAGTTAAATTAATAAACTTAGGGGGTTAAAAAAATTTAAATATTTTCAGAAAAGGCTATTCAGAAATGTACCAAAAACTTGTTAGAGTCCTATCCTATTTTTCAAAAATGTTATTATAAAAAATTTATCAAACAGAGCCATGATATTTCAAATAATGTACCAAAAGGGCCCCTAATTTAAAATATTTTATTGTAAACCAATAAATCCGACGCAATCAAAGAAAAAAAATTGAATATTTAAGTGTGATTTTGTTATAAATATGATATTATTTAAAAAAATTAAACCACTCAATCGACCATAAAATATGGTGAGTCACGCATCAATTATATGACTTGCGTCTTGTGTGACTAAGCGAGGAATAATGCTACATGGATAAATAAGCTTTATAAAAATTTGTATATAAATTTAAGTAACATAAAATAAATGAAAGAGTGACTTTGATGAATATCTCAAAAGCTACTCGAAATAGTGAGTGTTCATTTGCTTCTTCCTTCAGGAACTTACTGTTGACTTTAACTTATGTGGCTATCAATCTCTCGTACTACCATTATTAATCAGATTTTCAACAATAACCGACCATAAACTTTGACATTTTATCCGTTGAGTTGAAATTAC